CAGCCTGTGCTTGGCCGCGTCGCGCTCGCTCAGCGGCCTGGCGGTGCGCACCTCGCCGTTGTGCGCCCACACGGCGAACAGCCCGGGCTCCGTGGCCTTGAGCAGCTGGAACGACAGCCAGGCGTTCTGGCCCGAGTCGCCGTCCACCGCCACCACCTTGGTCACCAGGTAGCCGGCCTCGGCCGCCCTGGGCACCAGCTCGGTGCAGGGCGCAGAGCCATTCTGCAGCGGGTACAGCACGAAGGGCGAGTTGTCGTTGTCGTCCACCACCACCACGCGCACCAGCGCCTCGCTGCTCAGCGCAGGGGCGCCTCGGTCTGTGGCGCCCACGCGGAACTCGAACGCCCGCAGGGCCTCGTAGTCCAGCGACCTCAGGGCGAACAGCTGCCCGTTGTCCGCGTTGATGGAGACCAGGGAGGCGAGGGGCAGGTGCGGGTCCTGGGGCGGCAGCAGCGAGTAGGTGACCTGGGCGTTGGTGCCTGAGTCCCTGTCTGTGGCGCTGACGCTGCCGATGTGCAGGGCGGGGCTGTTGTTCTCTGGAACGAACAGGGTGTAGGAGGTTTGGGTGAAGGCGGGGGCGTTGTCATTGACGTCGGAGACCAGCACCATTATGCTGTGTTGGGTTTTCAGTCTAGGTGTCCCCAGGTCAGTGACCGTGATGGTGATGTTGTACTCAGCTCTGCTTTCTCTGTCTAGGGCGCCTTCTGTTTCCAGAGTGTAAAAATTCTCCACCGAAGGTCTCAGAATAAAGGGGAGACTGTTATCTATAGAACAAATAACCTGTTGGTTATGTCCGGAATCTGCATCTGAAACACTGAAAACTGCCACTACAATCTCTGGCAAGTTTTCAGGGATGGGGCTGATGAGCGATGACATGGTCAGTTCAGGGGCGTTGTCATTCACGTCCAGGACCTTGAGGACTAAAGAGCATTTTCCCGTTAGGCCCCCACCATCTGTGGCCTCGATATCCACGTGATAAGAATGAAATTCCTCAAAATCCAAAGCCTTTCTCAGTCGAATTTCTCCTGTGATTGTGTTTATTTCGAAGGGTTGGTTAACGTCATCGATTTGAAATAGGGCATAGGACACCTCCCCAAAGGATCCTGCATCTAAATCTCTGGCTGAGACCGTAATAACCAGAGAGCCTAAGGGGCTGTTCTCAGGAACTTGTGCCTCATATTGCTCCTGAACAAACTCGGGGGCGTTGTCATTGATGTCCAAAACCTGGATCTGAATCTCTGCGGTTCCTGACCTGGGCGGAGACCCGCCATCCCGCGCGGTGAGCGTTAGCCTGAGTTGAGGCTGCTCCTCGCGGTCCAAAGCCTTGTCCAGCACCAGCTCCGGGAACTTCCTGCCGTCGCTGCGATTGCGGGTGAGGACGTGGAAGTGAGGATTGGAGCTGATTGTGTAGCTCTGAAGGCTGTTGCTGCCAACGTCTAAATCGTTTGCCATTTTTAAAGGAAATATCTTTCCTGGCGTAGTCACTTCTGATATTTTCAGGATCATTTCTCTAGAAGGGAACTCTGGAGCGTGGTCATTTATATCTCTGACTCGCAAGGCAGCCTGAAAAAACTGCAAAGGATTTTCCAGTAACACTTGGAAAGGAAGCACACACGGCTCAGCGGAGCCGCACAGCTCCTCCCGGTCCAGTTTTTCATTTAGCAGCAAATCATGGGTCTGTGGGTCAAGCCGCAAATGCTGTCTGTTCCCCTTGAAAACAACCCGGGCGCCCCGTGCGGCCAGCTCTCCCACCCCGAGTCCCAGGTCCTTTGTCAAGTTGGCTACAAAGGTGCCACTTTCTGTCTCCTCCAGTACTGAATACTGAATCGATTCTGAACCCACCTCCCACAAAAGCATCAATAAAATGAAGATCGCCACTTGCCTTTTCTTGCGCTGTACTTTTGTATACAGCATCTCTATTGTTCTGTCTGTTTCCATAGGAAAAATCCTCTTCAGCTCCCAATCACCACATCCGGCGACAACCCTCCAAAATGTTTTTGCTATAGATTTTTAAATTTCTTCTTATAACTTATCTGGCGACGACTGCCTTCCTGAACACGTCTATCTTAGCTTTAGCTGTAAATGTGTTCTGTATTTTTACCTGGCTTCTGAGTAAAATGGAGTCCACTGAATCTGCGGAGATTTTATTCACTCTCTTAGCCTGCACCGCCACCACGCGTTCAAATTAATAACTTCATGAAGAGTTTTCACATCAATACCATTTCCGAAATCTCAGCATTATGAAGACTTTTGGGTCGAGTCAATGTTTCTCAAACTCAGTGTGTGAACCACATACATGAATTTATTGGGAATATTGGTTTTTGCATTTTTTAAAGCCAATTCCGGGCTCCCCTCCAGATCTTGAATCAAATTCTCTGGTGGTGCTAAATAAGGAGAAAGATTGAAGTATACTTCAATCTTTTTCCTTAAGTGGTTCTCATGCATAGCAACATTTAAGAATCACTACTTCAGGTAATGTAGAAAACTTCCTACAATCAACTTTGATTTGGCAGTGCAATTTATCTCTGATGACCAGTGTAATTTGTAAGTCCAAGAGGTACACTATTTAATTGTCCCAATAAAATATCAACACACTATACAAAATGTAGAAGTTTGTTAGCAACACTAATAGTAAAATAAAAAACCAATTCTCTATAAGCGGTGTGAACAACAAAGTTACTTTGTTAAGTGGCTATGCCAAGATAGTAAAAAAGAACAATTAGGCTATCAGGAGGAAAATTGAGACCAAGAAGTACTTATGATAGAAATAGCTAACCAAGTGAAATTATTTAAAAGAGGAACCAGGAACAATCAAATAATTGTCTTAAGCATTTTAGGACTGTACTTCATTTTTGTATGGATAGAATTGGATGTGGTTTTAAGAGGCTTGTGCATTTTATTGTTTTTTGTCAAATTCATTTCTTACATTAATTAATTAATCAAGGTCCAAATATGTTACCCTGTTGTAAGAACATGATGCAATGCAGAAAACAAACATTCGAGAATTACCTCCACCATTCTTTCACAGCAAGGAGGACATTAGGTCCTACAGATACAGGCCAAATAAGGCACTGTAAAATGGTGAACTTCATTTGAGTGAATACCATGGAATTAAATGATGGAATATCATGACTGTATTTATTCCTATCTCACCAGTTTCTGCTTGGATAAACTGGAAAATGTGGCTCTAAATATCCTGAAAATGTATGAAATAGGTCAGTGCACCTAGAAGAATACAAAATATGTCAAACATAATTCATTTCAGATTGATTTCTTATTTATTGATATGTAATTAGGTCATGAGGGAGTGGCCCTCCTGAATAAGATTAGTGCCTTTACAAAAGGGACCCCAAGGAGCTTCTTTTGCCCTCTTCCCACCATATGAGGATACAATAAGTCAGCAGTCCGCAACCTAGAAAAGAGCCTTCACCAGGACCTAATCATGCTGGCACCCTGATTTCAGACTTCCAGGCCCCAGCACTGTGAGAAATAAATTTCTGTTTTTTATAAGCCACTCAGTCTACGGCACTTAGTTATAGCAGCCTGAGCTGATTAGGACAGTGGCCTTGTGCAAGTTGCTGTACCTCTACGTGTTCCAGTTTGTTCTTCTTGAAAATGAGGAATCAATGGTACCATTATTTTTAGGATTAAATGAGATATGTATAAAATATTTAGAAAACAGCCAAGTACATAGAAAGAATATAGTAATAATAAGAGTATAT